CCCCAAAACCCCAAAACCCCATTAGATAAGATCAATAAAATTATTGAAGAGATGATTAAAAATCATTTTTAATTTTTATTAATAATAAATAGAAACCCTCTAATAAAAATGAGCATTCAGAACTAGAACTAAAATTCATAAAATCAATAAATAGGAGGCTTTGACATCTTGAGATTATGCCAGCCTAGCATGGAACATCTGAATGATGACTTTATTTGTGGAATTTGTGAAAGTAAATATAGCTTGTCCCTAATTTATCTTAATTATTAGAAATTGTATAAAATCCAGTCTAGTGCACCTATTCAACTTGTGGCCAGTTGTACTGCTAAACGTGTGTAGAATAGCAAAAGAGGAATAATTAGTCATCTTATGAAAAGCAATGTAAATCATGCCATAATAACAATGGAAATTATAAATAACCATAGCAAGAGTCAATGAAGATATTACATAACTATTAAATCTCTTGCTCAAATTGCCAGAAACCATTCCCTATCCAAGAAATACTTATTCACGAGGGGGTTTGTAAGAAATAAAAATGCTCTAATGAGCTATGTGGCTTGTCTCTTGAAGGAATGCCTGATACAGTTAGTTTTACAATTAATGGAGAGGAAAAGATATCTTGCAGCAAGAAATGTAAGAAAGTAACCAAATTTGGTTACATATTGAAGAAGAGCACAGAAACAGAAGTTCTAAGAGCCTTCGAAACTATGCTGAGAAAGAAGATTTCCAAAAAGTAAAAGTAGCAATAGTAGTAAAACTTGTCTATATCAAATGCTGCCGGATAGATATTTTAGTATCAGACAATAGCCCATCAAAGAGGGGTAACTCAAAGGAATGAGTCTCTTGACTAGCCACTCAGTGGAAATTAAAAGAGATAAGGGTTTGCAACTCAGAGAAAAGCAAAATCTGATGTTGAGGAAAACAAGGACTAGAGTAGGTTAAATATTCCAATGTTTGGGTTCTTAAGCGAGTTCCATGACTTCTGCTGGGATGTAGATAACTCCTCAAAAGAGGTTGTTTTTTCTTAAGACTATAGACATGCCTTCTTGTGTGAATCAAATTATTATTTCAGAACTATAATCTCAAACAGACCTTTCTCTGACGGTGTACATTATTGGGAGATAATTGCTGATTCTAGAACAGAACATGAGTTAAAAGTTGGCATTACTACCTAATAAACATTCAATGTGAACTCATCGTTCTCAGATTATGAATTCGGATTCGCCTACTATGGACTAGGACAACTAAGACATGGCTCAAATGCAGTTGGAGAGCCATATGGTAAACAATTCAAAAAGAAAGGAATTCTTGGAGTGTGCCTCAATATGATAAATGGTTCTCTTTCATTTGCTTTAGATGGTGAATACATGGGCATGGCCTTTGAGGATCCATCTTTAAAGAAGGGTCCAATTTATGCTGCTATATCTTTGTTACACATAGCAGGATGCACCTTGATTTCTGGTCTTGAAAAGCCTCACTATTTCCCATGATTCAAATGAACAACTATAAAAGTAATATCTAACTATGAGCACTTGTATTATTCATGTATTAAGACTTATACATGAACTTAATTATTTTAACTTGATTAATAAATCACTCTTAATTAAATAAATTCTAATGGAGTTAGATCCAGCTGAGACAAGCCAGTAGCTACAGTCTTCCCATTAATCATCTTCTCTTGCTGTTGAAATAACCTAGAACTAATTATCTGCTGGTAGCGTTTAGCAATCTCCTTTGATTGGGAATCTAGGTAACTAAATGAAAACCTAGAGTTCCTTTGGGCTAAATAAGAAATCATAAGACGGTGCTTTTATCAATAAATTTTATGATAAAACTTTCGCCTAAGCCTTCGAGGGTCATATGTAAGTTACGAAAAATAATTCTTAAATTCGATAGATAATACGAGATTCATAATAAAAAGCTTCAGGATGTCAAGGAAGAAATTAAAAAGTTGAAATAGACTAAAAAGGAGGAAAATAATACTAGAATTTCGCAGATAGAAAAGGTCAAGTTGATCAAGAATCAAAGCCACTCTTTCAGATAAAATGAAAGGGTCAATGAGATTCTCAAGCATAATCAATTGCTATTGGAAAAACTCTATGACATCTAGATTTAAAAGGTAAGTTTTCATCAATAGGCTGAAACACCTAATTTAGAAACAGTTAAAATAATCGCCAACTAATGCAGAGGAGAAAAATGCAAAGAAAAATAGCTTACATTATAACTTCAAAAAGCAATAGGCTGAATAGATTGATTAGGAAAATCTACGAATTATGTACAAGATAGTTAACATTGAGTCTTCTATCCGTAAAAAGAAAATGGACGACTAATATAAGGAATATAGAAAATTGAAGAAAAATTTGAGCAAGCTTCCATAGTATGATATTGATAAATTGGTGGAGAACACCAAGAAAACTTTCCAACATGTAGAAAGTAAAACGTCCAATTTTTTGCCAGCGATAGTAGTAAAACATTAAAGATCACAGAGTACAGTTGAAAAGAAAAAAAGAGATGATAAGGATATAGAAGTAAAGTCTAAGAAATTTAAGCTTTCTTAAAAACCTTCTCCAACACACTCTCAATCTCCAGAAGAAGCGCTGGATGAAGATGACAATAACTTTGAGTTCCAGAAAGAGATTGTAGATAAAGTTCTAGCAGAGAAAAGAATTAAGAAAACTTAAAAGCAGAATAAAAAACTCTTAAATACTCATGAAACGTCTATAAGACACCCTGTAATTCTTCCTCTATTAACATTATTAATATAGAGTCCAAATACATTGTCACTTCAGTAGCAAATATTTACTGCAAGAGTTAAAAATTAAATACTCAGAGATCGGAAATCATTGCATAAATCGTTAGCTGAGACATGGATTGATTCAATTAATTATCCTAGGAACCAATAAAAGTAAAAGGAGGGATCTAAATCTCCTGCAAGGTAAAAGAAAAAGAAGAACAAATCTAAGGTGTTTATGATTCATTAGAAGAGCCTCGAGATATTCTAAGAAATAGACTCTGACAAGGATAAAAAATCAAATAATGAGACTCTAAACAACACTTAATTGGATGATTTATAAGAAAACTCTCAAACTCTTTCTCAGCAATAATAAGAGCTTTAATAGCATTAAGAGCAATCAGAATAAAAAGATTGAAATGATTAACATTGAAAAAGAGCATCTTTTTAGTAGACCTTTTAACTTATTTAATGATATAAATTTGTAACCAAAATAGATTAATTCACATATATACTGTCAATCGTTATATTTTTTGAGTATGGGGTTTTGGGGTTTTGGGGTTTTGGGG